TGTATATATATATATATATATATATATATATATATATATATTATACACACACACACACACACACACATGCACATATTCAACAATGTGTTAGAAACATTTGAAAGAATATTGGCAGTAAACATCAGAACATGGGCTGTGTATAAGCTTCCTCTATTTAAGCCACACCGTGTCGAATTAAATGCAACTGATACATATAACAAAATCTGTGATGCGCATTTAAAGATGGTTAATCCCTTTATCTCACAATCACGTCTCCGCTTTATTTTTTTGTACTTCGGATTTTTTACCCTGTATCTGCTCACCGCTCTTGCTGAGATCTTCGTTCTTGAAATTGTCCACTGATAGGTCATTGATATTAGCTTGAACATTATTCTTCGGAATATTATTTCGTTCTTTGGACGAAGATCGTTCTACTTGATCATTTCGCTCGGTTTCTGTCGTTGTAGTCTCTTCGCTTCTACCGTCTTCTTTAGATTTCTTATTTGCAAATTGTTCCATTGTAACGTCACCATTAATCTTGTTTGTTTGGTTCTTCTCCTTTTTGTCGTGCAAACTGGCGGTATTATCAACAGTCTCAACACTACATTTTGCTTTGGAATTGTCTTCTTTACATCGTGCAGCTTCCTGCGCTTTTTGCATTTCCATTTCTTTATTTTGTTTTCGTTCATTGGTATTGTTTGGCGCGCTCGAATTTCCGGATACTTCCGCGTTCACCGTGATCGCCGCAAAGTTGAACGACATCGAGGAAGAGTTTGATTTAACGAGCTGCACATCGGTGCCGGCATCAGTGTTACTCGTATCCATTGTAGACGACATTTTGACAACATTAGAAATCGGATTTGGGGATAAACCGCCCGTTTTCGACAAATTAAACGCATTAAGTTCTTGTTGTAGTGACACAGGTATTGGTACCGGTACCGACACTGGCACGGCCACGCTCTTAGACAAAAGTAACGCGACGCTATCCACTGTCGACGTGATTGGTGATGATGCCTGCGTCTCGGCTTTCCCGAGATTGAATGTCGATGAAATTGAGATCGAACTCGAACTCGGCGATGAGACTTTGGGCGATTTCGGTGAGGATGAATGCGTGCTGGGTGGTATTCTTTGTACGGTCGGTGGCTGACCGGTCACTGGCGCATAACCAGTAGTCTGCGGTATGTAACTCGATCGCTGATACAGCTTGTTGATCGAGGGTGGTAGACTGCTGTGAAAGGCACTAGGAGGCGGTATTCCAATGGGCGATCGTATCAAAGGATTCGGAAATCGACTGGCATCTGGAAACGGAGGTGGGAAATGGGAATATATAAGTCGAGGATTCGTATTAGGTGTGGGAGATGGTATAAATGGATTGGTCGATAACATATTTACCGGGGAGTTCCTTGGTGATATGGGAGAGCCGGTATTTCGACAGATATCGCGCGAAAACGGAGTATTCTGATAACTTCGAGTATTCGGCGAGTAAGGTGGTGGTGAAACGATCGGTGAATTGATTGTAGAGACAATGGGCGACAAAGTTTTCGGATCAATCTTCATCATATTGAGAGTAGCGTTCTTCGTATTGGTCGTCGATTGCTCCTTGTCCTTCGTGTCGTTCGAAATTCCGTACATAGGTTTTACGCCTGACGCAGGATTACCTAAGTACCGCGGCATGTTTCGCATCTTGAAGATCTTGGCTGGCTTAGATGGGATTTGCTTGCTCGTATCTTCAGATATATTCTGAGTTTGCATCTCCTTCGCCTGATTTTTCACTGCTGCAAAATAGTTTTTTGACAACGTAGGATTCCAGGTCTTAGGCGGATCACGCAACGTCTTGTATCCAATCGGTTGATATGGTTTCCTGACCGATTTCTGAGTCACTTGGGATGACGTTGGAGCCGAGGACATCGATAATGCCTGCATATTAGCCGATGTCGATGTGACTAAGGCAGGTTTGGTGTTTTTGTTCTCCATCGTCGTTGCGTTACTGCTTGGAGTGTAAATCGGTACATTTGGAATATTTGGTATATGCTTGTTCATCGTATCTGAATTAGGTAACAACGGTGAGGAGCTCTTTTTTGTATTTATTCTAAGCAGATCCGGCACATCTGATTTGTTTTGTGCTTCCATCCTGTTCTTTTCCTTTGAATTTTCTCCTATCTTTGCGCAGATATCATTAATTTTCGAGCCAATCGTGTTCGAGCCAATTTTTGCACAAATTTCATTCAAGTTTGTACCCTTAGCGGTTACGTCCTGTTTGCGCATAGACATTTGTTTCATAAGAGATATAGGGATCGCATCTGGACATGGAGGTATCGGACATCCTGTCGATGTTGGTTTCGATATCGCCGTAATTGTTGCTGTCGATGTAGCCGTTACGGTAGTTACATCTTGACTCGCATTATAATTATTCTTCAGTGATGTAGGTATGGAATATATATTCATAGATGATGTTTGCATGTTGAACTGAGACATCGAGGACATTTGATTGTTGGAAGTTGAACAAGCAATGGGTAACATTCCTGATGGTTTCTGAGGTATAGAACTATTGTTGGAATTCTTGAGTGCTGGTTTCAGGACGGCCGAATTAGTTACGATATCGTGAAGCGTAAAAGAAAATGTTGATGTTGGCTGATTAATTGTGGATGTAGAAACATTTGGTACAGTAGACCCGACATTCTCATTTATCATAGTTATATTATTGCTTTGTAATTTTTGATTAATCATACTGACGGTATGACTTGTTCTGGCGATAGATTCCGTTGATGCTTGTACTGCCGATGCATTTCTCTGTTCCAACAAATTCAAAGCTTGTTGCAAATCGATACTTTGATTATCCTTCTCGTCGAGAACTTTTTGTTTGTCAGATCCGGACAAAGAATCTGAAACGTTTTGTGATGCTACAGTGGACATAATCGATTTTTGTGAAGAAGTTGCCATAGAAACTGGCACTTTACTAGTTATATTCCCACAATTTGTTCGTGTCTTCGCATCAGTGAATTTTATATTTTCAGTCGATGATGATTTTACATCAGATTTTTTCGTACTTTGCTGAAAAGTCGTTCGTTTCTCCTTCGGTCCTTTTTTGGAATAAGTGTTATTAACTTGACCCATTTTCGGATGAAACTGTAATTTTACGCTTAACGCATCAATTTTTGATCCAGCATTTCCCATTTTCATTTCGCTCGTATCTTTTCTACATTCCTTCTCAGTTTCACTTTGAAAATCCGTATTATTATTATTATTATTATTATTATTTATTGACATCTTTTTCGCATGTGTATCTATGCTTTTTGTATCTTCAGTAATTACACTTTTTTCTGTGGATTGCGTTCCTGAGTGACTGACAACTTTTGGCCTTTGCAAAACTGCTTCAGCTTTATCTTCAACATTAGCGATTTGATTATAGGTTTTTATTTCTTGTGTATCTTGTGATTTTGCCATAGCAGAATGATTTTCTGTTTTATTTGCTTGTGTTGTCATAGTCCCATTGTGTTGATTAGTTAACGGTGTGTAATTCTTAGTTGACGAATTTTCGTTTGTAAATTTAATGTCACTCGTAACGAGGCATGCATTGCTCGTGTCAGAAAATGATGAGTCTTTTGTCATTTGTGAACCAATAACCAGCGATGATTGCATTACATCTACACAAGAATTAGACGTATTGCAATTTTCTATCACTGATTCCGCTTTAATCTCTGTAACGGTCACAGTTTCCTCTGAAGTTTTCTTATCTTGTAAATTTTCGAGTTCTGCGTCCCGTTTATGTACTGTATTCGATATATCGGTTATACTCATCACACCCGTTTCCGATATTTTTAATTGCACCTCTTTCCATTCGCGCTTCAACAATTTTTCATCTTTTAATTCTATGGAATCAATACCAGTATTTATTAATGATTTTTTGTAATTTGCATTATCTTCTGATAATCTTAAGCGTTTTGAAGATGTTTCAAATATTCTATAGCTTAAATGTAATGGTACTTTCTGCAATATAAACATATAACGTTACTGTAAACAATATATACGTTAAATATATACGTTAATTAAATTACATGAATATTCAATCAATTTGATACATACCCGCCTCCAGTGATAGATATACATTACATCCATTAACGTATAACTACTGCATAATGGTTCTTCTTCATACATAATATCAACTCTATTTGCATCACTAAGGCCATATTTGGCTCTTATTAATTTTTGTAAATGGAATACTGTAACGGCTGCAGGACATCGGAAATATCGTTTTAAAAGAGATTTTCCATCCTTCATAGCATTTATCTCATTTAAATCTTTTGTACAGGAATTAAAGTATTCCAAGGACAAGCTGAGAGATTCATCTGGTGAATATATATATGAGTCTATAGGTTCTCCACGGGCTTCTGGAGACATTGATTGACTACATATTTCTGGATGTTGTGCATAAAATTCTCTTCGACATCGCATTTCGTCTGAAACAATATTTATTTCGTTATTATCATGTACATAACAAGAAAATAGTTTTTTTTATTAAGAAAACCACATACTTTGATAGCATCCAGGTACCAGTTTATAAACAATATCCTGTAACGTATGATCAGGACGTATATTTAATAACGGCTTGCTTTTGTGAACCTGTACTTCACAGATAGGGCAATATTTATTGTTTTCCAGATATTTAACAATGCAACTTCTGCAAACTGCAAAAAGCATTAAAAATCTTAATAAGTAAAATCATATATTTGATTATTAGTTACAGTTTAAATATATGCAGTATAATATGTAATGTAAAATAGAAAGATACTCTACATGAATGTAAACATTCTATAATGGTGGTTGCATCGATAAAATATCCATGACACAATTTACATATCAATTGTTCATTAAGTTTGGCCAAGCATATTCGATGTCCACCACTTTGCCCTGACATTCTGTAACATATATAAAATATATTCTTAAAGAGATATATATTATTTTTTATTTTTATACATCGAAATGTAACAAAATAATAAATATATTATTAATTATTATATGTGTGTGTATGTGTTTGATATAAATAATATAATTTAAACACCAATTAAATTAATTTAATAATCCAATATCCTATTCTTAATTTGTAAATATTTGTTTAAATGTTTAAAGGAATATCTAACAAATATAGCACAAAATTCTAAATTTCACTTAATTCAATCTATTGTCATAAGCATAATAAAACAATAACTAATCAGCAGAAAAGCAGTTCAATGAATGTATTAATTGGATTATATCTTTAAATTATGTCTTTAAATTTAAAGACATATAGTGTTTTATTTTAGTATAAATTTAAAAATACAATCCAATTATGAAAATGTTTATTAAATTTTTTCCTTTTGAATGGAGCCATTGAGCCAATTTAACAATTTTAATAATTTTAAATTTTAATAATTTGGAAATATATATCACATTATATATTTACAATATATTTGCAAGAAATTTTGGAGTACAGCTTTAAAAGGAGTTTCATGCAAGACTGTGAAACTGTTATTTTTGAAAAGTAATTTGTAATTGTTGCTTGTTATTCACTGCAAAAATAACTTGTTGATACTTTACATATATACTTTATATACATTATATGCAGTGTATCAATAAAAGATTATATTTGTTAATATTATCTAAAAAATATAACGTTATTATCAATTTGTAATTAATAAAGTCACTGAAACAATAACAATGTACAATTTTGTTTTTATATAACTGACATTCATATTCTGATTTTTTAATAAAATGTTGCATAGCAAACAATCCTTGTGTGACAAAAATATTTTTATAATATAGTTTTATTTGAACATAGCTAATTAGAAAATTATAAAAATTATCATATAATTTAAGCAATATAGAGTCATCCTCTAATATTTCAAAAATTGTTGTCATTCTAACATTAGGCTAAAACTAATATTTTATTTTCTATGATAAAGTTTTTGAACATATTGACTACAGAATAAACTTTTTACGTCTCTTTAACAATTTCTATCTTATAATCAATCAGCACGTTTAAAAGTTTGTCATATAACAGATGAAATATTAGGCTAATTTGAGGTCTGTTTTTTACTCCTAAAATTTTCTTTCTTTCACCAAATTTCAGATATATATTTTAAATAACAAGTATAAAATACATATAAAAAGATTTTGTCATACAATAAATTTTTTATTTTTTTCTGAATGCATTGATTAATTATAGTGATGTTTTTAAATCTTCAAAATTCTCTATTTCATAAGCAATAGTTGTGCAATATAGTGTTTGAAAATTATGTAAAACAAATGAATATTAGCCTAACAGTGTATATATATATATCCACATATATATTACTGTATAATAAAAAATACTATTTAAAATATCAATTAAATCAGAAAAGGGAATAACGAAAAGAATAAAATCATCGAAAAGTTTGATCTAACATAATAGTAGAATTTTGTTTTAAATATATAAGAATATATAAACACAATTAAGTTAGAATAATTGTACCAGGAAGATAAATGAGAATGAATGCATATTGTTTCAATATTATGTTGAATGAGAATTTTTATAATTTTCTAATCATATTAAAACAGAACACTGTTATAAAAATATTTCTATATGAAAAAGTTATACTTATATACTATAACAATTCACAAATAAATTTAGTCCGTTATACAATGTCTGATTTATATGAATTGTAGCCTGATACAATACGAAATTGACAAGTGTCCATCAAGTTATAATTTTATCATGTAAAATATAAAATAACACACATGACTGATACATTACTCATATTATCTAAATAACTAAACTAAGGAACAGTATAACAGCTGCTAAACGCAAACAGCATAATTGATTTAAGCAAACATAAAGGATATACATATACATTAATTAACAAGATTAATAGATTTACTTGGTATAGTTTGTTTTTGATAAGAAAATAATAAAATCGTAAATCGGTCCAAAAAATGGTAACTAATGTAGCTGTAATATACAGATTGATCTGAAATATTTATGGCACATTAAATAAAGTAAACATTAAACAGAATATCAATTGCTTGACACTGCTTGGTAAGTATATGTGGCAAATGTCTCAAACAAACTTACTTGACGAACGAAGTAAAAATCGTCCGTTTTATTTAATAATCGTCATTTGGCCTCAAAAGTCAGGAAAGTTGGGTCAGATGTAACTTGTCATGCCATCACGACACATCATAAGAAACCGACTATTACATTCTTCGAATAATGATATTTCTCATAAATGTATAAAAGATTGATAAAGTACTACTGGTGTACAATTTAATTTGTCTCAGTAGCTTATATTCATCTTAAAATAGATTACTGTGCCACCGAAAACTGCGCGTACGATAGCAGAACAAAATGGCGGATAAACAATCATACGTACGATACTTGAGAAAACATTGTGCAGCGCCACAGTTGCCCTAAACCCAGTGTTGCCAGGATCAAAAAATGTTTTGCCCCAACAAAACAGCAAAAATGTACCAGATTGACTTAAAATATTTATGGCCAGTATGCATAGTCAATTCTTATGCCTTGTGTCCACGATGCTAGAAATCGGTCTCGGATGGAAAGAGAATTGACCAATCGCATTGGTTAATTAGCCGAATTATTCAAACGCAATTCTCGGACCGATTTCTAACATTATGGACACAAGACATTATAATTAAAACCATTTTAAGTACCATTTTAAGATACATGAGCCAATCACAATGCTGTAAGAATAATAACATGCATCTACTTCTTTTTTTGCATTTATTACAATTTTTACATTTAAAATGAAAATATACACTAACGACACATATATTAAGTGTACAAAAAAGTTCTGAGCTTTAGATTTCATACAACCGAAATAACAATTTAAATGTTATATATCTTTCCGTCCTTTTGCGGTTTTAAAGCGTTGACATTTGGCCTTCTAAAGTGTCATATGGTTTGGCGTTTGATGCACATAACCTCAAAAATCAGTAGTGTTCACAATGGCAATAATAAAAGAGCATATTCGATTTTCCATCCATTTCGCGTTTCATCTGAAGAAAAATGCTGCTGAAGCCACTGCAATGATTTGTGCTGCATATGGAGAGAACGCTGTAAGTCATATTACATGTAAAAGATGGTATCAAAAATTTCGCCAAGGAGATTTCAGTCTTGAAGATGAACCGCGTGCTGGACGCCCTCAAAAAAGATTGAAACGGTGGAGTATTTCCTATTCTTCTATGTGCTTTCAATTCCGTCAAATAACCAATAAAAAAATATTTTGGACATTTATAACATCAAGTTGACTACACCCTACATAAATCCTATATAAGGCACGATAGTCTCTGACCAATCAGATATATGACACGTGATATTTCGCTGATTGGTGACTTTTGGCATATCTATTATGTCTTGTGTTCACGATGCTAGAAATCGATCCGAGATCTCGGATGGAAAGAGAATTGACCAATTGCATTTGAATAATTTGGCCAATTAACTAATGCGATTGGTCAATTTTCTTTCCATCCGAGATTTCGGATCGATTTCTAGTATTGTGGACACGGGCTTAAGGCCATATCAGATTAGCGGTTGTCCGGCTACGGTTGCCGGTTAACGATTCTACTATTATCAATCACGTTGACCATAACCAGGACCTGCTACATTGTGATTGGCTGAAATAGAATACTAAACTAATTTGTGATTGGTTTTTGTAATCTGTGTATCTGGAAAATACGCTTCATATAAAGGCTACGGTCCATTTAGCGTTACAAAAGCTTTGAAGCGTTTGATTAACCAATCAAAACAAAGAATTGTATGAATTGACCAATCAAAAAATACTATCAATCATATTGACCGTAACCAGGATCTGCTACATTATGATTGGCTGAAATAGAATCGTCAACCGGCAATTATAGCCGCGCAACCGCTAGTCTGATATGGCCTTTAGGGTCTCTTCTATTCCTGCTTCCTGCCCATACATTGATGCATTACGTATGTGGTAATGGCATTACGTGTCGAATGGTGGGGTAACTCAGCTCCCACGATATATTCCTGTTATATATGATAGGATCACCCCGACATATGTCGAGTGTTTACATACGCCGTCTGTCGTAGACAGCGGGTGGTCTGCTGCTGACGTCTGTCCATCCGCCAGTGTATGTACATACACTTAATACGTTTTTCAAGTTCCCGGGTGACGAGGACAACGACGACGACGACGACAACGGCAAATCGAGTTAGGTGAATTCGGTAGAAAAACACGACATTATAAAACGACAGGAGCAAAATCTATCGCAGAGTCGCGCGATCACGATTGACTACGACAATGGGTAGCTACGCGAGTAGGATCGCATCGATGTCGAATCTAGCTGTGCACAATGTGTATCGGGGCTGCAAGCGCAAATATATCGAGGAATATGATTACGATTCCGAATCCGATTACATCGAGCGGACATTGCACACACCGAAAAAGTAAGATTCGCACGGTTTGTTTTTATCCGTTCCGTTTTTTATCCTATTTTCTTTCGATTGTAAATTCAATAGTGATTATCATTATGTCACGTAGAATTCGCGAATTATATCTCGTGTGTATTCCGTTTGTAGGAGAAAATTGTTGACAACGGCGCAATACATATACAAGACCTTATTTCAAGAGGAGAAAGGCAGTGACATAACTGTCCTCATACTCGGACGCGCATGGAGATTACACAAAGTTTATATTAGTCAGGTATGAGTCATTCTTATAGCTCTCTTCTATTTTAATATATATATATATATATATATATATATATGCTCTTGCATGTTAACTAAAATTTCAATAATAATATCCTTTAATATATGAATTATTATTAATAAAAATTTGACAATTTTTTATTATTTTCTATATTCTCTAATTTTTAATATTGAATATTTTTAGAAACAAATCATAGATATAAACTTTACAATATGAAATTTATAACATGAAATTTATTTGAGGTTAATGAAATAATATTTTTATTATATTTTGCAATTATAGAAAATTATATATTTTTATAATACTTAAAAGCTTATATATTTATACAAAGCTTATAATATTTATAAAAATTTGTTTTTTTAATTTTTGCTAAAATATCAATTTATAATTTTTATTTCATAGTTTATAATGTAACAATATAGTTTATAATGTAACAATATAGAATAAGATATAGACAAATGTATATGTATTAAGAAATATTTATTTTTCAGAGTCCATATTTTGCTAGTATGTTTTCTGGTTCTTGGAGAGAGGCTAATGAAAAAGTTATCAATGTTGAAATCACGGATCCTAATATTACAACAAATTGTAAGAATATATTAACGGCTTGTATTATAACATTGAAATTATGCTATAAAAAATATGTAGAATATGTATATATATAGTGTGCGCGCGCGCGCACACACACACACACACGCACACGCACACATATACTTAGAAATAATATTTACAGATATAGATACTTAGAAATAATATTTAAATTGTTTCAGCATTGTCTGTGGTATTAGGTTCATTATATCAAGACGAAGTCAGTTTGGAACCAAAGGAGGTTGTTTCTATTCTGGCAACAGCTACACTGTTTCAATTACAAGGCTTAATAGACGAGTGTGTAGACATAATGATAGAAACTACAAATAGTGAGACTGTTGTATCATATTATAATGCAGCTGTATCGTATGGTGTACCTACTGTGAAAGCAGCTGCAAAACGATGGCTGGAAGTTAATCTATTGGGTTATGGATGGCGACATCCATCCTTTCTGAAGGAAATTCCACCAAACTTGATGACAGAATTAGTTGCCAGTCCTTCTTTAGTTGTTCTTCAAACTGAATTTTGCATATATATGATGTTGCGCCTATGGTATGTTTATAAATACGTGTGTAAATATATATTGATTTCTATAAAAATGCAATATAAAATAAGACTTCTCACATATTTCTTGTTATATTATCGAAGTTATATTATCGAAGAATATATGAATTAACATACAGGTTGTTTGCACACATTCATAATTATGAGGAAACAGTAATAATTGATGAATATTTTAAAAATCACAAATGGACGGAACCGTTTTTAACAACTGAAGATGGCAAAGCATATGCAGCACCTTTTAAGGCACTAAGAATGAAATATTTGCTGTTACACGAACAAGATGACAAGATCTTATACACTGATAGTTTGATACCACCAGATTGGCTATACAATGCTTACAGAGAACAATGGCTTCACTTGTTGAGAGTGGATGGAAGTAAAGACAGAGGGTAAGTTATGAACATCACAATTATATATATTTTTTAAATTAATATAGATTAAACTATCTATTTTCTTTTTTGTATATAGTCCAGTACAAATGACAGAAGAAGAATTTTCCAAAGAATGCTTTCGGTGTGGTAGATGTGTCGAGAAACCAGGTGAACACATTTGGAGATGGAAGGCATTCCACTATGGATTAGATTTATTAATGACTTTAGATACAACCAGTTTGCGTATTGAGAGAAATCACAGAATAGATTGTGAGCATATCAAGGCAAATCATAAAGAGCATAAAATCCTGATAAAGTAAGCTTCAGATTATTTGTTGAATAGATTTAGATTGTCAAAAGATACTTAAATATTGAAGATATAATTCTTTTATTTTAGAGTCTGTTTATTCTCATTGAATGAACAACGTCAGGTGAAACACGTCCAAGAGTCGGATATGCTCAGATTACGTTTGAGAAGAAACGCAGAAGTGAGTTGACATGAAGAGCGATGATATCTATATAATTTATTTATTATTCGTATTATTCGTATTATCACGTATTATTAATACATCTTTTTCCAGCATGAGATATTGATCCTGGATAAACAACTATGTTATCCTTTGTATATATCGGTTAATATGCAACTAGTCACTCCACTCACATTAGGAGAAGAAAACACATCGAATGATATATTCTCAGATACTTAGTATTTCGAGAATGGAACATTTTATGAACATGTAAAGATAAAAGAAATGGGATCCAATTAACATTTTGTAATATATTCTATTTAATTACAAATGTTAGACCGAGTTCATAGGCACACGTTATTATTTGGCACAACATTTAAATAGAAAGAAATATGGATCTCTGAGATCAAATTCTTTCCTTCATAGAGATACACAAGATCCATTTCTATCACATTCATTTTTTAGTGACAAATTCTTTAGTCAATTTTTTTCAATAAAAATGTTCTGTAGTTTTTTTTTTTTTATAGTTGTCTCATCGGCAAGTAATAGATTATTCAGTTTGCAACAAATAGATTGCAAACAATTGGTAAAACAATTACAATAATTTCAATTAAAATAGCAAAAATTTAATTTCATTACTTGATATGAAAGTACACATAGAATGTCTCATTAAAATTAATTTGTAACTTGTACAAGATTTTTGAGTTTTTGGGCGGTTACTATTTTTTTTAATTTCGACTCTGCCATATGACTATATTCTGACTTTAATGATGACATGTAACAAGTTGTTACAATTAGAGTATTTTATTGCATACAAATCAGAAATTATATAGCCGAAAATAGAAAGGTAGTAATCACTCGAAAACTTTCAAACTCAAAAAACTTGTATAATTTACAAAACAATACAATTTTATTGTTTTATAATTCAGATAATTTTTACGTTTAATCTCTATATTCATAATAAAGTTTAAACCATTTGATTTAATATCTCTTTATTATAATCTTTTGTATTAAAAGATAAAAGATAACTACTACTTACAATAGAACATCTTGAATAATATATTTTTCATATAAAAATATGAAGTTATAAATAAATATGATTAGATAAATTATGATTTAGTATTTTTATTAAGAAGAAAGCATCTTTAAATTGATCAAAAAATTGACATTAAAAAGTAACGTGATAGAAATGAAGTTTTCATATATAAGTTGTCTCATAAAAATTTTATACATAAAGATAGATTTCTAAAATTATATTGAAATAAAAATTTTAATATCAAAATGTTGGAATTATAATAATTTTTGAATTATAATTATTTAAAATTGATAAATAAATTAGAAGTTTATATATTGTTTCAGAAATGGCATAACGGATAGTGTTGCATGCAAAAGCTGATTTATCTCTTTTGTCAATATTTATATAAAAATTACATATAAGGAAATAATATGATTGCTTTTACATATCTCAAAAATTATTATAACTTCAATATTTTAATATTAGAATTTTTATCTTAAAATGGTTTTAGAAATTTATCTTTACATTGTTACATTATATCTTGTCTACTTGTATATCAGTGTACATTAATGCATTTGATGAAGTTCGCATAGCGATCATTCCAATAAGCTTTAGTCATTAGATTTTAATCTTTCTTATACTGAAAGATATTGTGGTGCATAATAATATTATTAAACAGTGTTCTACAGAGATCATTTTATATATATATATATATATATATATTCTAAGTTTATTCAGCGACAGTCTGGTAAATCGGATACAATACATAATCAAAATTCTACTCGTATTTTTTAAATAGAGAGAATATTTTCATTTCTTGTAATCAGTTTGGATAAAATTTCGAAACGTAATATCGAACAATTTTATTAGTTCATGAAAAAAGTCAAGCTCGATTTGTGCGAAGCAATGAAAAATATATGGACCGAATAATGAGTACATAAAAATTGAATAAATCTTATTTATTGAATTAATAAGAAAAATATTTATATCAGTATGTTTCGATTCTCAAGAGACAGATGTCTCTTCCTCAAGTTTACGTGCAGCGAATGCTTAATTATCTTTATATACTCGTTATGCAATCCATATATTTTTTTATATGGATTGCATACTTTTATTAGAATAATATCAATAGTTAAAAGAAGATTATTTTTTTTAAATGTTGATTGACTATTGGTTTTGACTATAAGCAAACAATTTTTATATTTTTTTCCATAAATTAAATAGCGTAAAAACAAATTGGCAATTGAAGTTAATTGATACCGAACTAAGAAATGTTTATTGAAATTCTGAAGATTGAAATTGAAACAAGTTATTTGTTTGCACATAGTTTTATAGATAGTTCTCAATAACACTTCCATCATAATTATATAATCTCATTTACAAGACTGTTCGCATTGTGTATAGCATTAGTGCAGTATTAGAGCTTTATCTTTATGTATTTAGAGTTTTATACAAAAACTAAAACAAGAAAAAGATTTTATGTTCTTATGTTATATTTCTATAAGAAAGAGAAATAAGAAAGAGAATATTTAATTTCACATACTAGTTAAAGGAGAATGGTCGAACGTTTTTTCGTCTTCCTGTAAAGAATTTTCTTCGATTCTGGTGCCTTTTTAACATGTACCGAAAAAGGATGAAACTAATGCGTAATTGAAGCGAACTGACTTTTTCATACGCATAAAATAATGAAGTTTCTTTGTAAAGGTTTTTACTAAAACAATTCACAGTAAGCTGTAATAAAATTATAAACATGCACTTTATGCATTTTTCACGTACTTACTACCTTCATAAAATTTTTTTGACGTTAGTAGAAAAGTTATGTCGTTATGCGATTTGACAGTAAAGACCTAGACACAATGAGTAAGGAACACAAGAAATTAAAAATAAAGAATTAGAAATTAAATTTTGCAATGTATATAAATATCCATGTTTTAATAAACGATCAAGGGATAAAATAGTTTTTTCATTGGTCGAACATAATTTTCTATTTTTAATTCTTTATATTTTATTTTTTATTCCCGTTCATTGCGCCTGAGTCTTGATGCTTTTGTAAATTTTGAAATCGCACAATTTCAATCATCACTTTCAGTAAAAACTTTATAACATGACATACGAAATGCATTTGACTAACTAAAGGATAGTGTTAGTATTTAAAAATTTATACAAAACATATATATATATTATTTTTGTTAATCGCTCAACACTTTATTATCGATAGAATATTTTTTCTTTTTCTCTCTATACATGATATATGATCTTGTAACTTGACAATGAACATTACAAATAAATTCAATAAGGCTTGAGACATACGTATTTTTTCGATACATGTCGCAGATAATAGGAAATATAAACGTACGGAGAATTTTAAAATTTTGGAAATTTTATATTTTTTTCACAGAAAATATCAAAAGTGATCTTAATTAATGTGTCATTAATTTCGCACATAATTCAAGCGTGATAAAGAAATAAATTTAAAGGCAATTTTCTTATCATTATACGCAGAATTAAGTTAATACTTAAAAACTGAATATTAGGCATAATAGAATATTAGACACTATTCATTTTTAGATGTTGATTGATTTAGATGATAATTCGTTGATTACCGGAGCAAAATGAATTTTCAGTATTTTACAAATCTGTTCTATTGATAGCAAATGTCATTGTTAAAAAAATATTTCTATGTAATGTATTTCGAGGAAATCTTCACTTTATTTTTTCTGATGTTACCAATCTAGATATTCGCAGTCAGCAGCTTTGGAATGTTCGAGAAGATTCGGAAGAGATGCGTGAGTACAATATCACTAATAATTGCAACGCTCTATAGTGTTCAATATAATATCTATTTGTAAATGAATTGAACATTTCGATATTCTCGCGATGCGATTGTCATGACTATTCTCGCGAGATAACGAACCCTTGTTGCACCAAATCAATATTTCCAATTGTTTACCATTGGCCATTGGTTACATATCTCGACATGTATCAAAAAAGGAAAACGGATTGTCTCAATAACAAGAACTTCGTATTTCTTTCAATTTTCTGTGCTATCGCGACTAAAGAATCCAATAAAATTGATCTCGAAACGACAAGGGAGATGAAAGAAAACATTTTTCTTGGAAGAAAGTAAATTTCTTACTATCAGATCTGAATGTAAAATCAGCAAAGATATGTAAATAAATAAATTTATTGTAGAATAGTAAAAAACACAAAATAATACTTAATAATAATTAATATACACAGTAATATAAAGACAGAGATTCTGTCATTATCTTTTATCGTGATCATGATTTTATTACTTTTATTATACATAAATGTTTTTTTACAAGAGGAAAAGAATTTGTTAAAATTATGTTTTAAGAATAGTTCTTTTATGAGAGAATCAAAATTGTAACAATACAAATAATATTTTTTTGCTAGTTAAATATCATAACTGATTTTTCATGCAAATCTGATAACAGAAAGTTTATCTTGTTTTAATTATTCTAAGCAAGGGAGAAGATAATTATGGACTAGAATGGACAATTCAAATTTTGATACCAAATTTAAAGATTATAAATTAGCGAAGATGCAATTTTAACTATATCGCAGAATCGACACTAAAAAAACATGACGAATTTGTAATCTTTCATGACGCCAAAAATTGGAATCTGATTATCTCATTTTCGTATCCATTAATTTTCCCTCTTTCTCCTTACTTTATTCCTCCATATTTCCATCCTTATCCACACCATCACGTCCGTCATAATTGTTACCACATTTTTGCACTCTAATGATATAATAATTATTAGCGGTATTATTTGTAACAACGAGTCGATAATATACTAACAATAACTATAATCATAATAGTAATAGTAGTGATCATAATCGGTAGAAATCATATTAATGGTAATAATGGCGACGATAGATAGCGTAGTATGTGTGTGTGTGTGTGTGTGTGTGTGTGTGGTGTGTGTGTATGTGTGTGTGTGTGTGTGTGTGTGTGGTGTGTGGTGTGTGTGTGTGTGTGGTGTGGGTGTGAGAGACCATGGTTAGCACTTTTAGGTTATTCCATCGGTTTTCTATGGGAAAAAGGAAATGGAATATTTGATACAATAGTTAACTACATTCGTTATACAACATATTCAATAATCTGTCATTCTAAATGTCATTTTTAAAATTGTTACCTTTCTTATAATGTTTTCTCTAAAAAAGGCTAAAGATTTTTTCCGTTTGCCAAAAATTCGTCCTAAAAAGTCGGAGTCTTTAACCGAAAAGATGGCAACTGCGATGGTGACAGTAATAATAGAGATAAAATGATCATTTTGCAGTATTGCTGACAAAATTTATGTTAATTAAGCGCCTACTTTACCTATTTCTCTTTCTTTTTTTTTTTTATTAATAAACCATCTACTTTCTCATTATATATTATTGCTCGTTCATTATCTGCCAATACCATGTGTTACTCTATGTTGCCATTATTATTACTATTATTATTAGCATTAATATTACAGAGAGTGTTGAGTTATTATAGCTTAAGCGCATCTGATACAAGTGGCAGTTGCTGAAAAAAATATTCTCTCTTAGAGATATCATGGATAAGTTTTTTTGAGCTGTGAAAAGAAAAAGGGCTTTTAATGGATTTATCTCGACTTGAAGTATAATCATCATAATACTAATCAGCTTCTAATCGAGATGCTGTTTACCATCAATGCGCTTATTATCGAATATCTTATATGTATTTATTCTCTCTTCTATTAGCCGCGATCGAAAGAGCAACAACGAATTATTAAGGGCCGGTTTTTCCAACGTTAGTCAACTAATCTTATTTTTCTACCTACACTGCGGTCAACATCTCATTCTAAAACAAGATAGAGGAAATATGTCAGATAAATAATCAGATAATTTACCCGAAAGTGCAACAACCGATTCTAATTGAGCTATCGAATTTAGCGTCACATTCAATTATTATTGCACAGACACACGCAAACACATTAGCATTCATATGTATACACGCATACGGACAGCGGTTATTGTACGCTCAGGCTTAAACTATAATTATTGCAAAGTTTTGTGAAACATGGAATAATAATCGTGGACGCGATGGTGGATCTTCAAAGAGAGCTAAATTTATTAGAGCTAAATGCGAGGTTTCTCTCGGCATCGATATGTTATATCTATTCCATCCTTTACATAGCTTCTTTTACATATAACAATAGCGTCTAAACAATTAGCATGTTAAAGTTTATCTTGAATTATTTAATGAGAAGGTATACCATTCAGACTACTTCAGTTTAGTTTTCGAGCAAAAAATTTGATATCAAGTAGAATGAAAGGTACTTGGTTGAAGATAATTTAATTTGATTATGTTATAAAATAACTAATTATGTGTACACAATTAGAGATTACGTAAAAATTGTACATGTGAAAAGAAAAATCATGTTACATAATATTATGTCACGATGAAATTATAATGATAAAGGAGTAAGCTGAAGTAAGCTGAATGGACGCAACCCGTGGATGCGTCCCGTATTATATCCTGTTTCGCATTTTATTTCATAAATGCTATGTCATCGTAACTTCTAAAATAAGACTCGATCTCGCGTGCAATTCCACTTTGGCTTTATTCCAACAACAAAATATATTATATATATATATATATATATATACTTTTTACTTCGCGTGCCTATACATACATCATAATTATGCGTACACACGTTACAGGCAAGCACACTCGTGCACAGGCACGCAATATGTTCAGCAGTAGCTCGCAGGCGGGGTGCGAAACGTGTTTTTATCGCGATGCCGCTACTTTGTATTTATTATGTGTAACTGTTTTTACTAATCTTAAATTTTCAAAATCAAGTATCCGTCTCTCCTGCTACACACTTTCCTATTTCGAATTACACTTGACACATACGATAACATTCGGTCGTTCCTATACAGTAAGTAGGTGAATTAATAATAGGAATCGAACATCAGCGATGCATCGATAGGATGCATTTTATATGATAATTATTTAATTTAATTTAATCATATTATTATATAAAATGCATCCTAAAATTAAATCTAATTATTTATGTTACTTATTATAATACTTGTTTGTTTCGAAAGTGAAGTAATTGTGAGATTTAAGAGATCATCATTATCGAGGAAAAATTTATATAAATTTATATTAAATATGCATATGAAAAATAATTTAGAACAATTGAAAAAAGAATTACTAAATTGATCGCAGAACAAGCTTCCAAATCGATTCCTCTTAATTCACCTATGCAAAAAAGTATTCGGGAAGTCTCTGACAGCCGAATCGACACAGCCGATTAAATCCGAATGGAAATCACGCGGCAAGTGCAACCCCCAATGTAGCACAAGAGACACCGGTGATTGATTTCACTTTTTTTTTTTTTTCTTTTACATAGAGGCCGTTATCTATTTTGCGTTTTTTCTTGTTTTTGTTCGCGGAGATATGTATACTACCCTCGCGCATCTGGCAGTTATCACCGTTACACTACTTTTATTAATTAATCCGGCTACGTTACGGACCGTTCACAGCCTAAAACACCGTCGACGAATTAAAATCTAAAGTCTAACAGAAATTAAAATTATCCGCAAGAAATGCTCGGAATCCCCCCCCTCATCGTTCAAGACATCCACGAATACAAGAAATCAGGACTTTTTGAAAAAGTCACATTGAGAGTGACCTCATTTTGATTCCTGAAGAGATATACGTGTTCGGATTCGTTATACATCTGGATATCTCGAAACGGAAGGGAGAAAGGAAATTTGACAGCTTGAGTGTAACGTTTCTTTGTTTAGCGGCGCGGAGATTGACACGCCTCGATCATCGTCTGACACGGTTTTTAATTAGGCCGAGAGCCGGTAATTTAACGATAGGCTGAAAGGTCGGAATAGTGTCCCCTCCTTCGCAAACGGTAGAGCCCTCCTCCTTTGACGATCTCCTCCTGATGATCCGTCACGTACCGAGAAAACTCGGTAACTCGGTGGTAAAATTGACAGTGACTGGTCGACTGGCCGACTGATCGATAGAACGGGGGGGGGAGTGGGAGGGGAGGAGCTCGTTTTCCTGGTGTACGAACGGTCCGTGCGGCGCTACAATGGCCTGGGTCGATTCTCGGAGTATAACTCGAACACTAGGCAAAATTAGACTGTCGAGAGGGAGGTACAGGGCGGCACGATCGGGCACGACAGGAGCAGGCTCGGTGTCACCAGTATGGCAGTCAGGAGAGACGCCAATGGCAGTAAGGACGGCGTGCGGAGACCCTCGGCGGAGTTGCACAGATCACCAGTGCACGAGCAATATTGAGCGCGCACGTCGTGGGTGCCGCTCCTCTTAAGGCACTCACCGTTATCTTTCTTGTCTGTGATATAGCCGCAACTGCGGACGACCCTCACTTTTCCGTACACTGCAACAGGAACGGAAACGGTGTATCGCTCTGTATCCGAACTCCGACTCTTTTCGCTCCGTTTTAGAGATTTTCAATCCTAGCTCGCCACACCTATGTTTAATTACCCTTCCCCCCGGGGTCGTGACACTCCCCCTCCTCCCTCCCCTCCCTCCCCCCCCCCCTCCCCCTCGGGGAAAGTTTTGCGAAACCCCCGTAATTTTGTCACGCTATATCTCTGAACCGAAGGATTATATTTTTTAGCTCGCAACGTGTAAAATCGATGCCTCAGAGTGAGAGAAAGATAGATAAACAAAAATTAAACTTAAAATATTTTATTTTCAAGTAATTATAATGGTTTAAAGAAATTTCATTGCAAAAAGTTATAGCGATGTGAAGAATCGTATATCGTATCCCGGTATGGCGACCTAGGATTTACCGTAAAGATTTCAATTTAAGATAATTTTATTTTAGAAAGACATCGCTTGTGTCTTTGCTACCATCCTGGCAAAAAAATGTGGAGCATAAATGTAATGGGAAAGTGCAAATTATTTAGAGAGGGTGTAAAATTGGAATATCAAAACGCGTGAAATAAGCGTTTTTACAGTAAATAACTTAAAAACAATGCTTAAGTAAAGTCTTTTAGCTAATTTATTTATTTTTAAACGGAAACGTTTATGAGATGAATAATTGATAATTGTCATAACATATCGTTGAATCGATATCTATGATTCATTATTTTACCATTATTATACCTGTTATTATTTATAAAATGTTATACGTATTGCAGAATGTTGCGAGTTTACAAATCTCACATTAAAATATAAAACTGTATAACTGATATAAATAGCATTTATTAAATAAATAAATTTCTGAATATGCCAGTAATGCCGGCGATTATTGTGCTTGCAAGCTATTATTAAAGAAATGGATAATCTTAAATAAATAAATAAATAAAAATTAATAAGTGTAGGTTATTTTAATAAATATAATATTTGTAAATTTCTATTAGATGACATTTATTAAATATATATCTATGTAAAAATATAGAAATTCAGGTAAAGAACCTTATGGAAGCAATCTTACCTCTTTGACTAATTTTCCGGCAAAGAGTAGGCTCTAAATGGCTGAGATGCTCTAAACGAGGCTGAAAACTGCAGTTTACAGTTCCCAAGCTATACGAATCGAATGGGTCGCCACATCTCGGATCATACTCGCTATTGCATTGATAACATATTATCGCTTCACCTGAAATAAAAAAAGATCAATTCTTATTTGTATTTGCCTGAGAATCCAAAGATTGCCAAAGAATTAAGGTCAAGTAAAATCATTTTTCTTAAATCTTTCCTAAGGTTTCTGTGATATTTCAGCATGCAATGCGCGATTAAATAGAGGCAATTTAATCTTGTGCACTGAAGATCAAATAACGAGCATTAAGTGTAACCAGCCAAAAATTTCACTTTCTCCTTTACGTGTGTTTTAATAAATATTTTAGAAATTCTTAGAAGTAAAATTCTTAAAAATTTTATCGTGATTTTAACGATAAATTTAACAGAAGTCAATTGGATAAGGATTAATTGAAGAATGGTCTGGTTGTCTTGCCCTTCTACGACGTGACGTAACACCCTGTTACATCCCGCAGTTACGGAACTAGGCTGATACGGCGCCAGCTGATATCGAACAGCGAGGCAAGACACACGCGATGACCTACACTCAGCTGTCTCGTGGATCGATGCGGAGAATCCGAATTTTTGTGACTGGGTACAGAGTTAGGCGATTAAGGACAAATGCGAATTCACTATTTCAATCGTTTTCATTTCAGCTACAAGTAACGTCATTTTTCTAATTATAATTTCATACGCGATTTTACCGTCACTCGACCTACTTTTTTCTTTTCTTTCAAGCATCTTCTTTTTGTTTTTTTTTTTTTAATTTTATATATTCTCATTATTCTCATTTTAATTTCTATTTTAACATAATATCTTTCTGCCTCTCTTGTTTTCTAAAACAAATTCCTAAAATAAAATAAAGTGCGATGTTATTATATATTACTACTTTCATTTCTCTTATTTTAATCGATCTATCTTATTTATATAAATTGTACGTATTACATAATACATACAATTTATATAAAATTTTCTTAAATATTTTAAGTGTTTTCAAATATGAGTTGAAAAATTTTATCACGATGAGTGGAATATTTCTTTAATGTATCTAAATATATGCACATATTTTAAGTCAAGTTTAAAAGTCAAATCAAATCGAATCAAATCAAATTTTATTCGCAATACAATTTCATTGATAACAGATAATTTGCAAATGAATTTATATGATCTTTTTCGTTTGTAATAAGCAAATTGCATTTGTATGCGAAACAAAAATAAAATTTTAAATGATCATTATTTGAAAGGCAAAATATTTATTCGTTGAAATGATGAAATCGAACATACGCCACATATAACATACCGTATTAACAAATATAAAAACACGACTAGAAAAATATATAGAAAAAAATAGAAGAAATATATATAGAAAAAAGTAGAATAATTTTATAAAAATGAAGAAATAGTGGAGAATAAATAAACGAAAAGAGATCTATATCATTAATTAAAATTTGACCGTTATTTTTCCTTTTCAGAAGGAATAAAATAAAATATATTTTAATTCCTAGATCTAAAGTCTGTAATACATAACAAAGACATAAATAATACTAAATATTAAAGACATAAAATATATTTAAGTAAAGGAAAGAGAGGAACAAAAAAGAGGATGCGTAAATATAACACTATCAAGAAAGATAAAGCAGAAATGATAAAAAAAAAAAAAGAATACTATCATTACAAGAAAAACAAGACAAACAAAAACTATACTGAGAGTATATGAAGCAGAGAGGGATGGAGTAAATGAGAGGAAAGGGATCGGAGAAGGAGAAAGTGGGTCGCTCAATAGCCTCACGACGGCTTTCGTCGTTTAGGTGCTACCCTAAATTTCAATAAATTATCAGATATAATGTATTCATTAATGATATCCTAAACGCGAATTACCGATGCCAATTAATTTCGTATCAGTAATTTCGATTAGTGGACAAAAGAAAAATCAGATTTGCTGAGCATGTATCAAGTAATCGATGCTCATCAAGTACACATTAGTAACTAATTAGTAGTTGTAATGAGATCTTAAAAAATTAAAAGTTTAATTTCGTTTGAGCACAGTTTGGTTGGAATGATTGATCTAAATGATATAACCCGCAATTCTTTCTATATATAGTTATATTAACCGTGATCAAATTACACCATTTCGTCCACAAATTTTCACCCTTTGCATTACTATGGGAAAGTTACGTCACGAACACGTGAATGATCTTGGCTAGGAAAGTAATGACGTCATGCTTCTAATTATATTCTGTCCGAACGTCGTCAGGGAAACGAATATCTATTGTCTGGCTTTTCCCTTCATCATATTCAACTTCACTATCGAAGTCGCCGGATGTATATCGACAACGTCAACAAGGAAAAGGACGAGTTTGAAACTCTCGCCAATTCATTTGATAAGAGGCACAAGTTTAATGTGATGGGGCCGCGCTTGACAAGGCTTAATTTTATAAAATAAGTTATTTAATTCTTAATTAAATCAATTAATTTGCTGCAAATAATTGAAATAAAGATATATATGCAAATAAAATTTTTAGAGGTACTTAATTCAATTATATGATCTTACATGATATCATTTTCTTAATTTACAATAAATGCAAAAATTTTATCTAGGTTCAAAATTTAATTCATCAAAAATAAAATACAAATATATAATTAATTAATTAAGACTTAAATTAAAAAACTAGTAGTTTACTTAACTTAGTTTAAGTTTTAGTTGAAATAATTTTGTTTAATTTTAAGAGAAGAGATAACTTTTTAGGGGGTAATTTTTTTCTTAACTTCTTTTCGAACGATTAATTTTGAAAGGAAATCGCTCCGTGGTTTCTTTAATACAAATTAATTTACGATTCACAGCAAACGGAGATGCATGATTATTGCGATATTTTTCTAGCATAGTAATAGGATTTAATTCGACAAGCATACATATACCGTACGCTCATCTTCGCGATCTGGCATCTTGAAGTACCACAAGTGCTACTGTTGTAGGAATTCGCTGTTCAGTATCTTACTAACCGTAATATAATAATACATATAATGCCGGTATTGTTGAAAATCGCTGCTTTCTGCGATATATAGGAAAATGTGAAATTTACAGAAAAATGTCAAAAAATTAAAATCATCTTGAAAAATATATAAATTAAAATAGAAGTCATTTCTGTGAAGTCAAATAAAATAATTGAATTTATTTAAAAATACAAATTCTAAAGAAATTATCAATGATGTCAGAAATTAATTCTTTTCATAATTCTTCATTGATCCCTAAAAGCTAAAATAAATGGATAAAAATATAAAAGGAAATTGAAACCACCTTTAACTTTCGAATATTAATGTTATGATGAATGAATTTAAAATTTATATGACGAGGATTTCATTTTAAATGACCTAATTCTTTTTAGTCGTACATTAATACTTATTATTACCCATATATATGTATACTATTTCAAAACTTTGTACAGCAATTTCTAAATCTTATAAAGACATATTTTAGAAATTTATTTATGTAATAAATTCGATAATATCAAAAAGTCATTCTTTTCATAATTCTTCATATTGATCTTTATAAAAGCTAAAATAAGCGGATAAAAGGGAATTGAAACCTCCCTTAACTTTCGAACATTAATTTAAAATTATGATGAATGAAGTAATTTAATTTATAAATAAGATGTAATTTAAAAAATAATGTAACTTTTATTTGATCGAGATAAAACATTTTAAATACAAATTGCAAATTGTATTGTTAACTGTATCATATTGATAATTATGCACTATGAAAATAATTTATTTAAAGCATATTTAAAAGGATAAAAAGACCCTACAAAAAAATTTTACATTCTAAAGATTAGAATTTTTAAAGACTAAATTTCTCTTTCTTCTATTTTTTTTTTTTTAATGATTTTCTTTTTATAATATATTGATTTCTTAAAATTTATAATCTTGTCACTGTATTCCTGTATTCTTTAAATATTAAACTGATCTAAAAAATTTTGAAAAGTTTTTTCCTGGAAATAAAACTTGTAGAAAAGAATCTAACATTGACTTGGGATTCAGATTGCAAAAGGTTAAACGTTATCTAAACTTTTATATTGTTTGGACTCTTACAATTTCCCGATGATGTATGACCTCAGCCTAGACGGCTCATTTACAATAGTAACTTTTCCTGGCATCACTTTTGCGTCGCATTGCGTCGTGATGCAATACTTTTCCTCACTCGCAAATAGTATACGAAATCGTGTATTATCGATCATTCCTATCTTGGACGAAGTAACATTCAAAAACGATGATTTAATCTGATTTATTTCAAGAACAATTAAATTTTTTTTTATTAAGTTCACAGAACAAATACTTTTATTAAATTTTGAAAATACTTTTATTGAATATTTTTTATTCTATTTTTTTTTTTTAATCCAATTTCCTATTGAAACTTTTAACAAAAGCATCTATCGAAACAACCGTGTATAGTTTTCTGGAAAAATGTCAATAAATTTCATTCTATTGTATATTCTATATTGTTCTTTGTCGGGACAATTTTGTACGCTTTCTTGGGAATTAATACATCGATAAAAATTAATTTGAACAATGTAGAGCCTTTATATCATTCTAATTTTTTAAATAAGCAATTCAATAAGCTTTGGATTCCTTTCAAATTCATCTTTCATATTCATTTTCATTTCTGTTAATATAGATTAACTTTAATATTAATTTCACTTTTTATCTTTTTTAGATATCTTATAGAGATTAATTCAAAAAAAGAATAAAGATTAAAGTAAATCGAAATTAAAATTAATAGATATTAGTAGAAATGGACGTAGTATTATCTAAAATTTGCGATCTTTGCAAAAATGTAGGAATATAATTTCTTCTGTAGATAAGACGATGATTACAAAAAGAGAGGCAAATCGTCTCTAAAAAAAATACATTTAAAATATTTCTTTCTTTTACGAAATAATTAGCAAAGTTAAAGTTGTACCAATCGTTGATAGCCGCAGTTAATAGCCTTCAAAATATCTTGTAAAGCGAAAGCGTTCAAATGTACCTTTCCGAAAGTAGAATTTTTCACCTCTTGAAATTTGCTCTCTTTCCAGTCGCAAACAAAAACTTGTTACTCGTATTATTTTATTCCTTAAATCAGAGTAGCTTATGCTTAGCTCGACTTTGTTAAGAGATAAGAGAAATGAAAATTTGAGACGCGCGGATTTCAAGGCATAAGATGCCTCCTTCGCAATCGCGCGAAAACTTCGATCTTTTTTATTCTTCCGGGGCTCGGGGATTCGCTCCGTTTCGATCGACCGTGCCTGGCAAATCGATCGCTGTTCCAGGAAGAAACGGCGAAACGGAAATCGGCAACAGTTGCCAAGGCTGATCGGCACTCACCGCGATCAAAAGTGGCCACCAGGACGAAGAGGAAGCCGATGATCGGCGCGGCTTGGTTCGCGATCATGGTCGTCGCGATTGCAGGACCATGTGCTCGGGGAGGATCTAATCGCGTCGCAGCGCCCGCGGCCGTATTCGCATGGAAGGTATTCCCGTCGTCGTCGCCGTCGTCGCCGTCGCCGGGGAAAGGATTGGGCAGTGTGCGAGTGTACGTGTTCGCCAATCGTCGCCGACGTCGTCTTCGTCGTCGTTGTCGTCGTCGTCTTCGTCGTTGTCGTTATCGTCGAACGTCGTCGTCGTCGTCGTCGTCGTCGTCGTCGTCGTCGTCGTTATCGTTGTCACCGCCTTCCGCGATGATCTCGCCGGGACGAGTGAGG